CCAAATGATTTTTCAACTCTCGCTCGCTTACTGCGTCTCGGCTCGAGCTCAGGTTCTTTCTCAGATTCCCCACTATCATTATCCATAGCTTCGTCAAACATTCGTTTTGACGTACTCGATCCCTCGCTGGACCTACAAGGAAATACAGTTTCAAAGAAAGATGCATTCCTTGATTCTATTATCGTGTTCTTATGTGCGTCCGGATTATAAGACTCATGTACTAAGAACCGATAAGTGCTACTGTTATGTGCGTAGCCAATAAAGATACAGTCCACCGTCTTAGGACCTATCTTTACTTTCTTAGGTGTTGGCACCAACACTTTGGCAAGACACCCCCACACTTTCAGGTACTGGTAGGAAGGTTTCCTACCGTTCCATAACTCATAAGGAGTCGTATCGAGCTTCTTGCAGGGTACCTTATTTAAAAGGTAATTACTTGTCAAAATCGTCTCACCCCACATACTTTGAGGTAGGCCCGAACTTATAAGCATTACATTCATCATATCTTTCAATGTACAATTCTTTCGTTCGGCAACACCGTTCGATTGAGGTGCGTAAGGTGTCGTACGCTCGTGTATGATACCTACACTTGCACAAAATTCATCAATAGGTGCTTCGTACTCACCACCTCTATCGCTTCTAATATTCTTAATCTTACGATTAAGTTGATTTTCAACTCCATTCTTATCAAGGATGAATTTTTCCAAGGCTTCGTCTTTGCTCTTTAGCAAATACACATAGCAATAACGTGTGCTATCATTGATAAACGTGATAAAATATTTATTACCACATCTCGTTTGTATCGATCTAAAATTTCACAAATCATTATCGATTAATTCTAGTGGTTCAGTTTCCTTTTCAACCGATTTGAAAGGTACTTTCGTTAGTTTTGCCTCAACAGATTTGTTATTTGTGTTATTTGAAAATTAGGAATATGGTGCATGCTAATCAGTGTACGTATAAAATTAAAATTAACATGACCCAGTCTACCATGCCATAAATTGGAAGACTCAAGCAAGTAAACAAAATTAACTTTTCTTTTATTGATAACAGGCATTACATTGAGCTTAAAAAGTTCATCAGTTACATAACCTTTACCAACGAACATTCCTAACTTAGACAAAACAACATTGTCTGACTCGAACACCATGCGGAACCCATGCTTGTTTAGCAGCGAGCCAGACACAAGATTCTTCCTCAACTATGGAACATATAGCACGTTATTCAACGTCAGTTCCTTCCCAGAAGTCATCTTCAGAACCACCTTGCCCATGCATGCCACATCAGACTGAGAAGAGTTGCCCATCCACACATTCTCGCCCTCAACGGTACCAAAGGTGTTGAACATCTCACGGTTGCAACATAAATGCCTTGTTGCACCAGTGTCGATGAACCACTCACGTGGGTTAGATCACACGAGATTCACATCGATCACCATAGTTGAAAGGCTATTCTCGACCTCCTTCTGACTGCTTTCTCCAACAACGTTGGCTTCAGAACTCTTGTTCTTCTTCCTTGGAGCCTTGCATTCAGAGGATTTATGGCCATGCTTGCCACAATAGCATGTACCGTGAAACTTGTTCTTGGTAACGCCTCCTTTCGGACCAAGCTTACGCTTGTTCCTCTTGTTCCTCTTGGAGCTTTTACCGTGATCCACAACGTTGGCCTTAGCGCCGTCAATGACAGGACCTTTCCCGTCATTCTTCATGTTCCCCTCCTCAATTCTAAGTCGTTGGATCAGGTCCTCCAGGTTCATCTCTTTTCGCTTGTGCTTAAGGTAATTCTTGAAGTCCTTCCATCCTGGAGGCAACAGGTGATGGGTAATTCTTGAAGTCCTTCACTTGGAAGGCTTCACTTAGCACCATGCCCTCGTCACGAATCTCGTCGAATATTAATTACAAATCTTCTACCTGACTTAGCACGATCTTGGAATCAACCATTTTGAAGTCGAGGAATCGGCCAACCACAAATTTCTTTGTGCCGGCATCCTCGCTTCGGTATTTATGATCCAAAGCTTCCCACAGCGTTTTCGGTGTGCTAATCTTGTGATATACATCGTATAAAGTATCACACAACCCGTTTAGGCTGTAGTTTCGACAAAGGAAGTCTGAATCCTTCCAATGACCAACCGCCATCACGGATTGAGCATCTTGTTCCTTCAACTCAAGAACCTTCTCGGTCAAGAATATTGCCAAGCCGAGAGTTGCTAGGTAGAACAACATCTTCTGTTGCCACCTCTTGAAGTTCGATCTGATACCGATGAACCTCTCTGGTCTATCAGTCGAACCACTTGGTATCGTAGGTACTCGCATCGTAGGGATGTATCCCTCGGTGCTCCCACCATCTTGTGAACCGACGTTCACTGGTGGTGCCTGTGAATTTGCAACGTTGTTGTCATTCCCACTACTGTTATTCTCAACAACATTTTCCTCCCCTTGATTAGGCAGTACGTGATTCTCCATTTCTTCTAGGAAATTAGAGACTCAACAGAGAAAAAAGGGAATATGAGGTTTTAAGAATGTTGGATATCTGTTGGTAAAACCCAAATAATAATCTTACGGAAAGATTATTATTTTATGGAAGAAGGGTGAAGGAAATGGTGAAATATGGCTCGTGTTTGGGGGTAGGTTTTTGGCACGAGTCGAGCGACCACTCTTTCCTTAAAACTTTATTTGATACCTCCCACAAGTGCTAGGAGCGTTGTAGCCTAGATTTCCCAGGATAAAACGTGCTACGATTCAGTGTTTGAGCACCCAAACAAAGAACCCGGCGAACTAGAGCAAAGCAGTAGAAGTAGAGATTTTGGAGCTAGAAAATATTATTTTCGTTGTCTGTTTTCTATGTTAAAAATCTACAACTTATATAGAGAATTCCGTAACAATCATGCGTTACGGTTAAGCCTTTTCAAACCCACTTTGGGATTTGATTTGCACCCCCTACGCGCGAGAGAGAACATCTATGCTATACAATTCAATATGTCTTAAAAGAGCTTTTGTATAAATAGTGGTGCAAGTCTACTTCCCAAACCAATGTGGGACAAAAGCTACACTTTTTCCCTTCATTTTCCAACTCAAATGGGTTTACTTTGAGAATCAATATCTCATTCACACATTATCCGTTTTGAGCGTACAATATATCAATATTTTCGTCTCACTACGAAGAACCCGAATCTACTGTGACCCGATCCAAATCGGAAGTGAACCCCACTGATATTTATACCACAAAATAACTACTTGAAATGCCATTTTATGCCAATTTATGCTATTTTTTCCAACAGAATATACATATTTATCCCCACAAATTAGAAAATAGATGTATTCGACATTTCTAAAATTTGTAGCAATATCAATTGAGCAAGCAAAAATCAATCTATTGCAAAGGAAAGCAATTTTTAAAATGAATAATATTTAAAAATTCAATAAAATTCTATAATTGTCACACATACTAGATACATGGTATATCTCTAAATAGGTGAGTAGGTAGCATATATAGCAATTTTAGAACATTTTAACATTATACCTTCTATCAATCGAATGTAGTAAAACAAGTAAGAACAACAACATATTTTTAGAATGAGAAGAATAGAAAGTGATGACTACCTTAGGAGTGTATGACGGAAGAGAGATGAAAGCAAAGTGATCATACTCATAGTGCATCGTATGTTTACAAACTATGCATTCCACAACACCCAAATATGCAACCTATACTACTACATTGTATAACCAACACCACCACAAATGTTACAAAATTTTGATGACATGAAGAGAGCTAACACAATCCCCCCCCCCCCCCCACCAACCCACCAACCAAAAATGGACATAAAGTGAACAACGACCCTGACAATATATATATATATATATATATATATTATTTACACGCTTAACTGTAAATATATAATATGTTAACGATAGACACGTAATTTGAATATCAATTTATATCGAACTTATAATACAAGATATATAGACCCTAACTCATATGGAATAATTTGCCTCATTCAGTGTACGTGCACTTGTCCATCAACCAATTAGAGTTTAACTTGGTTAGGTAGGATTTTTCTGGCCTTTCGGTCCACCCAAGAAGTTTTTTATGTTGTTAAAATTCGCCTTATTTAATACTATACAACTAATACAAGTGAGGCTCAATTAATTTGCTATTAAAGAATGAAGACCTTTTCAGGCAGAATTACAGGTGACGCACTAAGCTATTTCTCAATCGAAACGCCATTTTGACTTCCTAAATGGACACATCAGCATTGCGTAGTCCATGTCCTATGCTATACATCACGCGCATATTAATTATTTTATAAAATCGTTCCTATTTTAAACATAACAAAAAATAAAAAATTACATTTTTGTTCTCTAATTATATTTGTACTACAAATTTAGTCTTTGAGTTATATGTGTGATTATATTTAATTCTAAATTATGAGTAAAGTGGTAAATTTAGTCCTTGACCAAGTCCGTCACTTTATTAAGTAATATATTGGTGATAAAAATAGTTTCAGAGAAACTAATATCGTCACTCCGCACATAACTTAGGAATTAAAGATGATCATGCATATCACTCAGGAGTAAGTATATACCTAGAGCTGGTAATGCGGACTGGCGGAGCGAGGTCCACCAAAGCCCACCCTTGTGGCAGGGCGGGCTAAAATGCCCGCTTTAGTACGGGCTCAAAAAATTAGAGCTCGCCCCACCCTTTTGACAATGCGGGGTGGGCTAAACCCGTTTTGACAGCTCTATATGTACCATGTGTATTGTATAACTGGATAATAAAAATACAAATTTTCCAAAATAACAAAAAAACTATTTTATAATTAAAATAAATGAAAACGTCATTTTCTTGCCGTTCCATTATCCAAATATTAATCCAATTTCATAAAATTTATCTCTATAAATATTCATCACCTCACCACACCTCATTGCATATCCTTGAATTCCCTTTTGTTTTTCGAGCAGATCTTAAGGATTATTGCAAAAGTATATATAGGACATATATATATGGAGAAGAAAATGTTGTTTGGAAAATACGAAACCGGAAAGCTACTAGGGAAGGGCACGTTCGCAAAAGTCTACTGCGCAACCAACACGGCCACCGGCGAGAGGGTGGCGGTTAAGGTGATAAAGAAAGAGGAGGTGAAGACGGAGGCGATGATGGAGCAAATCGAGCGGGAAATCTCCGTCATGCGCCTCGTCCGCCACCCCAACATTGTGGAGATCAGAGAGGTGTTGGCAACGAGGACAAAGATCTTCATTGTCATGGAGTACGTCAATGGCGGTGAGCTCTTCGCCAAGGTGGCCAAAGGGCGGCTCAAGGAAGACGCCGCCAGGAAGTACTTCCAACAGCTGATCAGCGCCGTCGAGTTTTGCCACAGCTGCGGTGTCTGCCACCGTGACCTCAAGCCGGAAAACCTCCTCCTAGATGACAACGGAAACTTGAAGGTAATATATATAACCTCCTCCTAGATGATAACTTTATTTCTTTATAGACTGCTATCACATTTTTGGAGAGACAAGATATTGGAGGCCCTTCACCTGGACAAATTATTGTGTGAGGTGGAGCCCGATGTACAAATACCAATTTATATACTGAATGTTTACAATTTTACCTATTAAATGTTCACAAATTACATACACAATTTACATACTGAATCTTTACAATTTGAATGGTAAACATTCCGTATGTAAATTGTGTATTTTGGACCCTGGTTTACCTTGCAAGGTTGACCCAGGCCATGGTATAATTGTTGCTTCCCACCTCCGTCCAACAATCCCTTAGCCACTAATTGATGGACTTGGTTCTTAGCCACCAATTGATGGACATGGCTCAACAATTCCCCATCCAACACCTGTCAATTTTAATTGCACATTTTTTGCGAATTCGAGTCCTAATTTTGATACCACTTATTAAGATCAAGCGTTTACCACTATATTAAAAATATATATACCCGGAGTAATTTGTAACGAATGTGCAACTTTAAAAAATCTTGACTGAAGTTATATTAATAAAATTTAAATATATTAAAAAATAATAATATATGCTAAAGGACAAGTAAAATGGGAGAGATGATCAAAGTCTATCTTTAAGAAAATCAATATATATCTAACCGTCAATTCGTTACTTGCATTTGAATCAAAGGTGACGGATTTTGGCTTATCAGCATTGTTGGAGCGGCTAATCGGCGACGGTCTTCTCTACACGCAATGCGGGACGCCGGCGTATATTGCACCGGAGATATTGAGGAACAAAGGATACGATGGTACAAAATCAGACATTTGGTCATGTGGAGTGATATTGTATGTTCTTCTCGGAGGTTTTCTTCCATTTCGAGATGAAAATCTTTTCAGACTGTACAAAAAGATTTTCAAAGCCGATTATAAGTTTCCGCCATGGTTTTCGCCGGAGTCAAGGCGTTTAGTATCCAAAATATTGGTTTCTAATCCGAAAAAAAGGATTAGCATTAGGGGAATAATGCAAGATCCGTGGTTTAGCAAAGGGTTCCAAATACCCATTGGAATATCAGTTGATGATGAAGAAGAAATCAAGCATGGCGGCGGGCTAATGAAGTCATCGCCATCTTCTCCGGCGATTTTGAATGCTTTCGAGTTCATATCGTCGATGTCGGCCGTCGATCTATCCAGCTTGTTCGAAAATAAGAAGAAGGCGGAGTCCATATTCACTTCTAAGTGCTCCGCCACGGTGATCATGGCGAAGATTCAAGTGATGGGCAAAAAGTTGGGGTTTAAGGTTGGGAGGGTGAGCGGATCCGCGCTGAGGTTACAAGGGCCGCCGTCGGTGGAGGGCAGCCGGAAAGGGCGGTTGGTGGTGACGGCCGAGGTGTTCAAGGTGGCGCCGGAAGTTGCTGTCGTCAAGTTCTCCAAGAACTCCGGTGACGTAGTAGAGTATGCCAAGTTTTGTGAGGAGAAACTTAGGCATAATCTAAAAGACATTATCAGTACGTGGCATGCCGATGATATTTTGGGTGATCACATCTCAATGGTGCATGGAAGTTCACAGGTTCAGACCTGAATCAGGCACTATATATATACAAAATGCAGATATATATAGTCATTTGTATCAGTTTGATTTGATAAATATTATTATACTATATAGTAATTATGATTTAATTTATGGTTAATTTAATGTGTAATAATTCAATGTAAGCGAATTTGCTAATGCTGGTTGTTTGATTTCCGGTTGGAAGTCAATGCAAAGATACAAAGTTTGGTTGAAGTTTTCATTGTTTTTCATGCATTGCCTTAGAGATTGATTGAAGATGTACGTACAAAGAGTGAGAATAAATTCACCAAAAAAAACATAGAGTGAGAAGAGAGGTGATTGAAGCGTTGAAGTTGTTGGCCTTTGGTAAGATGGATGAGTGTAAGTGTCAAATACAATGTATTTTTGGGCATATTTTGGAGTTAATTTGTGGCTAATTTGGCATATAGTATGCTTAAAATAGTCTAAAATGTTATAAAATGTGTCAAGGGTCTAATTCTGGGCACTTTTGTGTTTTTATGGTAAAAGGACTCAATCAAGGTAAAATGGTCAAAATGAGCAAATAGGAAGGGTGTAGAAATCGACCATCACGCAAGGCATCACCACGTGACTCTGGACGTGATACAAACTTTAGAGAGATATTTTTGTTATCACTAGCATCATCACACAGTAACTTCGGGTGTGAGACCAACTTCAAAGAGCTTGTTCTACTCTCACGCCACCCATCACAGCTTGAGGAGTTATGTCACAACATTTTCTGAGCCGGCCTCTTTTCTACCATCACGCCAACTGTCGCGGTGTTACGAGATGCGTGACAGGAGCCCATCTTTTAGCTATAAATAGAGGCTTTGAACTCAATTGAGGGAGTTCACTTGAGTTAACTATCTAGTTTAGACATTAGTCTATTTGTAGAAGTAGTTAAGGTCAGAAAATACTCTCAATTCTAGAACCCAAGATTTCAATTCCTGTACTTGCAATTCAATTTCCATTTCCAATTGTAATTGCATTTCAATTCCTAGTGTAATCCTAGCTAGTTTAGATTTAATTGAGTTTTTCATTCAAGCAAGCTAGAATTGGATTATACATCTCTATAAGAGCTAGGTCTTTCAATTCGATCAATTCAACCCTTACTTTGATTCAAATGATTGGGTTTCAATTCATTTTTTTTGTAAAGACGGGTTTCAATACATTCTTTAATTGTGTTATGGATTGTTTTTTGTCACTTGTGATTGTTATTGTGCAAGTTTATATCATGTGTACGTGCTTAAATACTTATTGGAGGAGGATGAGTGCATGCTAGGTGTAGGAGGATAAGTGCATGCTAGGTTTTGATGAATTGACTTTGATTAGGTTGACTAGGGATTGGAGTCATAGCATGAGAGTGTTGTTTGGTATGATTGAGGCTTGATTGGGAGTTAACAACCCTCTCTAACCTCAAGGGGCCATTTAACCGCACTTCACCTTTGAAAAAAGGAAAATGTTTGATGTTAAGGACACCAAGTGTTCAATGAATTGTCTCTTTAATTGTTCTTGAGTCATGAGACTGACCTTAATTATTCTAAAATCGAGTGTGAAATGTTCTTGAGAAAAGCTTCCTTCTAGTTATCACACACCAATCCTATTGTAAATTGATTCTTGTCCTTGTTCCCTTTTTGGTCATTTTGTCTAAGCCTATATATGCATTTGCAACTATCCAAATCCACTTTAATACATTTGTGTTCATTACTTTGTTGTTTTGTCATTGCAATTCTATATTCAAACTACCATTTGTGATTGGCTAGATTTCCAAATGGCAATCATGCTATCTTGTGTTTGGAATCTTAGAACTCGAACTCCTATCATTCTCTTGTCATTGCAATTCTATATTCAAACTACCATTTGTGATTGGCTAGATTTCCAAATGGCAATCATGCTATCTTGTGTTTGGAATCTTAGAACTCGAACTCCTATCACATCTCCATTGAGAATGATATCCTGTGTAAGGATATCATCTTACACATATTTATTTACCATAAAAACTACTTCATCAACGAGGCTAGGCTACGGAGGTTGGTCATTTACCTAAGAATCATTTACTAAGTAGTTTTTTGGAAAATTAAACTTTTTGTATGTATAGACTAATATGAGAATATTTTTAATCTTGAACCCAAAAAAATAAAAATAATGATAAGTCGTCCTAGTTTTGTTGTCCACAAAATGCAAAATCCCTCACCCCAAGAATTCCATTTAAGACCAATAGAATTGTGAATGAGTAAATCACGGTTACTCAAAGACCCATTAGGTGATGAGAGGACGAATTGAAATTTTAGTTTTCTATGCATCCTGTTTGCTGAGATTTATTTACTATTATATATATATATATATATATATATATATATATATATATATATATAGAACAGGTCTTCCTGTGCGGTCAGTGCGACATATACACCATTAGGTATGCATAAATGCACCACACAGTGTTTGAAAATACTCCATTAAGTATGGTGTATTTTTTTGTATGGTGCATTTTTTGGCATTTCATTCTGGTGTATTCTCGAACACTGTATGGTACATTTATGCATACCTAATGGTGTATGCTGCACTGACCGCACGGGAAGACCTGTTCTCACAGGAACCAAAAAAAAAAAAAAAAAAAAAAAAAATATATATATATATATATATATATATATATATATATATATATATATATATAGAGTTGCACTCGGGTGCGAACGGCTCGCCCAGGCGCGAAATAGGAATGGATTCTGTTCGTCCACGTGTCCAGATCTAATGGATGAGAAACACTGATTTTTTAAAAAAACGCGGTGGCATTTTCGTAAATAATTGAACATCGAAGTGCAAGTAAAATGTATTACAAGTGCATGTAAAATGTATTATAGGTGCAAGTAAAAATTTACACTGAGCATCAATACTTAGTTGCACTTATAGTTCTAAGTAGTTGCACCTATAGTTCTAAATAGTTGCACACATAGGTATAAGTAGTTGCATCTAGGTGTATGAATGTTTGCGAGTGGTTTTCAGGAGTATTACTACCCGCTGAACTCAGATCAATGAATGTTAAGAAGACAAAATTACATGCACTTATAGGTGAAAGTAGGTGCACATATAGTTATAAGTAGTTGCACCTATAGTTATAAATAGTTGCACATATAGTTATGAGCACACCCAGGTGCATGAATGGTTGCGGAAAGTGAATGCTAACAAGGCAAAATTACATGCACTTATAGGTGAAAATAGGTGCACTTATAAGAGATTTTACTTGCACTTCGATGTTCAATTATTTACGAAAATGCCACCGCGTTTTTTTTTAAGTTATTAGATCTGGACACGTGTCACGCGCTGATTCATTCGCATTTCCTTCCTGGGCACTTATTCGCACCTGAGTGCGTCCCTATATATATATATATATATATATATATATATATATATATATATATATATATATATATATATATATATGACCGCGTTCAGGTGCAAACTGCCCGCTCAGGAGAGAACTGAGAACCATCCCCGTGCGCCACGCGTCCAAATCTAGGTGCACCTATAGTTATAAGTAGGTGCACCTAGGTGCATGAATGTTTGCATGTGGTTTTCACAGGCACTAACTACCCGCTGAACTCCTCTACAAGAACAAAAGTGATGCCAAACAGAACGAACTCAAATCAATGAATGCTAACAAGACAAAACTATTTGCACTTGTTGGTAAAAGTAGGTGCACCTGTAAGTGATTTTACTTGCAAAGATACACCAACTACTTGCACATATAACACATTTACATGCACCAAAGGACATGTAGCGCGCAGGATGGTTCTCAGTTTTGTCCTGAATGATCGTTCGCATGAGAGTGCGCTTATATATATATATATATATATATATATATATATATATATATATATATATATATATATTCAGGATCGTATGAGAACAATCTCCCACATGAGAACTGTGAACAAATATGAATGCTCCATTTTTTAATACGTGTATGACTGTGATTTTTTCAAATTTATTGGTTTATTTAATTCTGTGAATTTATGAATGGGTGCTTTAGAAAACTTGTGTGCATTTTAAAGCATGGATTCATATACCTAACTGGTGCACAAACACATCATTAGATGCAAACCACGGTACAAACAAAGCACACGCAGATGTACTATAATGCACAAATGGTGCACAAGTCAAGTTTAATTTACAATGCACACACACATAGAGATGTCAACGGGGTGGGGCGGAGGCGGGGGACATACCCCCATCCCCGCCCCCGGCTTTCTTCCCTATTCCCCGTCCTTGGTGGAGAAGGAAAAATTCCCCCATCCCCATTCCCACAGGGATTATCTGAGGATGGGAAACCCCACCCCATTTATAAGTTATAAAAAATAAATTAAAAATTAAACATTTAAATAAATAACGTATATATATTCATCTCCAACTTAGTAGTATTCAATATTTTACAATTAAACATCTCATCTAAATAAGCATTTCATAAGCATGACATACAATGACAAAATGATTCTAAAGTTATATATACTATGCACAAAGTAATACATATGTGTGTGTTGTATGGCTATACACACACACACACACACACACACACACATAATATATATATATATATATATATATATATATATATATATCGGGGAGGGGACGGGGTCCCCGGCGGAGAATTTAAAATTACTCCCATCACCATCCCCGTTTCCACAAGGGTGGAAAATCGAGTTCCTAGTTAGAGACTGGTACAATTGACATCTCTGACACACATCACATAAACACAAAGTGCACATTAGATCATGACGTGATATCAGACCCAATGGTAGTTCAATTCCCCCAACATTATCATACATTTGCATTACTTACATAAAGTATATATGTAATATATTACATTAAAATACTTGTATTATTTTTGTTGAGATTAACAAGAACAATAAAACAATAATAATGGCAGAAAGGGTAAAGACGACAAGATTTACGTGGTTCGGCAAAGTGCCTACATCCACGGGAGTGAAAGTATTTTATTATTATATGGTGATAGTGGTGACACAACCCCTAAGGGATACAACCAATATATTTATAGGCATCTAATCCCTGTACAATGGGTCTACCCGTTTCACTCCTACTCCTAGTATGAGACAAACTCATATTCCTAATCCATATATGAGAAAAACTCAACAATCTCCACCTTGGCGAATATGCTCTTTAGGAGAAAAGATAACTCAACAAATCTCCACCTTGACGAATACGCTCTTTAGGAGAAAAGACTTATCTCACCATCTCCACCTTCACATATATGCCGTTTAGGAGAAAAGACTATCTCCACCTTTGCGAATATGCTCTTTAGGAGAAAAGATAACTCAACAATCTCCACCTTGAAAAATATGTCCCTTAGGAGAAAAGACTTATCTCACATATATACATGGGTAGGAACAACCATGTTCATCCCAACTAGCCAGCCATATGCACCATGCAGCATCAAACGTTTTCCAGCATGTACACAAACCGCTTTGTCCCAAGCTATTCGCCCCTCAGCCGTCGACCTGTTATACCAGCCGCGACTCATGCTTACTGTCTCGTTTAGCTGACCTCCTGCATCTGGCCCATACCAGGTCCATGTCCCCTCCTGGTATCCACGCTGCCCCTAACACAACAGCGCCCCTGCAAACTCACACTAAACCTGTGTGCCTTGCCCAATGCTCCACTAACCAGCTACCGCCACTAGTTGTAGAGCCGTCGAAACGATCTCGCGGGGCGGGACGGGCCAAAACACACCAAAGCCCGTCCTCTTAGCGGGCTTGGAATGTGGCCGGCCTGCCCCGCCATGCCAAAGCCCGCTGGCGGGGCGGGCTAGCCCGCCAATCAATTTTACTGTGTTAATTTTTTTTAAAAAAAAAAAAAAAGAATCACTGTATAGACGTACAGTAACACTACCTAGTATTGTATTCCTATAAATCTATAATCCTATAAGTTATAACACACTAACACAATTACACAAACCAAAATAACATATATTAAATACTAAATATATATATAAAATATATATGTATTAGCAGGTCGCGGACTAAACTCGTGACCCGCCCCGCCTAGACCCGTGACCCAGGCGGGACGGGCTAAAAAGCCCGCCTCCTGGCGGATCAAAATTTGAAGAACCCGTCCCCTACCTACGGCGGTACGGGACGGGTCGACCCAGCGGGTAAAACCCATTTTGACGGCTCTAACTAGTTGGCAACACGCACAACGCAGCATCAAACGTTCCCAGTGCATGTTCATGAACCGCTTCATCCTGAAGCGTCCGCCCATACCAGCCGTGACTCATGCCAAGCGCGGCTCATACCAGGTCCATGTCTCATGACAAGCCCAACCCATACCAGCCGTGACTCATGCTAAGCCCGACCCATGCCAGTGCCATACTGGCCCATACCAGGTCCGCGACCCCTCCTGGTATCCGCGCTGCCCAATACCACAGCGCCCCTCACCACCTTCTCATCTAGCTTCTAGAAACATCCAACAAGTCCAAACAATGTTTGATCTTGTTACTAGTAACTGCTAGAACATCACCTTCACTATAATAAGAGTCAACAGCATGTACCACGTCCGTAGCTTCCTGCTTCTTCAACTCCCCCAAATCAGCCTCTTCCAGATTTGCTGGATTTTCCGCCCTCAAGATTTTCAGAAGGCCCTGGTATACCAACAAATTCATTACCCTAGACTGCCATAACTCAAAATTCCCTATACCATCAGACTTTGATACCTCGAATTTTGTACTTGAACTGCTCATCCCAACAACAGTGCTCTGATACCAATTTGTTGAGATTAACATCTGAACAAGAAACAATAATAATGGCAGAAAGGATAAAGAGGACAAGATTTGCGTGGTTCGGCACCTACATCCACGGGAATGAAACAATACACTTATTCATAGTGATGATAATAGTGGTGACACAATCCCTTAGGGATACAACCAATATATTTATAGGCATCTAATCCCTCTACAATGAGTCTACCCATTTCACTCCTACTCCAGACAAACTCATATTCCTAATCCATATATGAAACAAACTCAACAATTTTCTTTAAGAAAAATGTATTAAAATCAAGCATGTATACTTTACTACAGTGGGGAAGATCCAAGAGATAACGTTTGTCAACGACACAACTGAGAACAGCATTACTCAATCACCCGTCACCAACAAATAACCCCCCAGTCGACCACCATGGTTGCGTAACTGAGAGCCAATTAGAAGGCAACCGCCACCGCCTCCGCCGCGTGCCGCCTCTTCGTGAAGCTCCATGGCTGCTGCTATTAGGCATTGTGTTGCGCAATTCATTGAGCCTGAATCCTTGAATTGCTCTCTGCCATCTCCATCTCTCTTCCCCAAACAATCTGCTCGGTTCTCCATTCAAGTAATTCACCTTAATTCAAAACTTCTATTCTAAATTTCATGGTGCCTTAGCTTAATTGGTTGAATAAAGTATGTTTTTCTTTTCTGGTTGGTTTTAACATGATAGAGATATCATCATCATCAAGCATGTTCTCTATCCATGAATGGTTGCCAAGGTGACCCACGAGCCCCCATCGGAACCGTCGAAACTCGAACTTTTCCGGCGGTCTCGACCCTGGCATTGGCGGTGGAAAGCCTCAACGCTGCCATTTCCAACCTCATCAACTCCGACCCTCCGCCGTTCCGCTCTGGGATTATTCGTCTTGAGGTAAAAATTAAATCCCAATCCGTTATTCTTTCCATATATATACTTCAATTCTCTTGCGCAAAATCATCAAACCCAGTAATGGAAGCTGTAGCAGCTGTCAACAATGGCGTGAGAGAAATTAGAAAAGGGAGGGAAACTGAAAGTCATCTTCAAAATAGTTGATGGGTAGATGCCACGTGGTTGGTAGAGACTAGTCGAAACTGAGGATAATGCAATCCTCTTATCTTGCCTTCTCCAACGATTCATTGGTTCTAAATCATAATGTCTGCTAATATTTTTAGCATCGCCACCACACCAATTGCCTTGTTATAAAAAATGGAAAGTGTTAAGGAAAACGGTTTGGTAAATTCACTAAAATGGAAAACTCTCGAGTACAATCACATCCAATAATTACTCAGGCCTACTAGATATGCTCTCTATTTCTACTCTTTCACTTTTACTTCCTGACAATAAATAATTACAGGGCGTTTGGTTGGAGGGATTTTAAATTCCCTTCCCACTTAATTCCCACCTAATTTCAAAGGCCATTAAATTTCGTAGTTTGGTTGGAGGGAATTACAATTCCATGGAATTGCAATTCTCCCATTTTCATGGAATTAAAATCTCATGTCCCCCCCTGAAATTTTAATTCCTGGAAAAAAAAGATAGTGATGAGTCAAAATTACCCCTTCTTTTTTTAACCTAAAATTAATGTCTAACAACAATAATGTACATTTTTGACTTTATACTACTTATTCCCTTTCAATTCCCATGTATACCAAACATTGGAATTGAAATTCCCAGTAATTCTATTCATGTCAACCAAATACTGGAATTTAAATTCCCATTTTATTCCCAGTAATTCAACTCCCATGGAATTACAATTCCTTTCACACATAATTCCCTCCAACCAAACGCCCTGTTAGTTGTTTTCATTATGTGAGTCTTATGACAAATGTCAATATCAAAAATTTGAGAAAAAGAGTAAAAAGTTAGAAATAGGATTTGAGAATACAAGTAGTATTTTCTATTATCTTCATCATGTGAGTCTCAATAAAAAAAAATGTCTAACGTCAAAATTTTGTGAAAGGAATAGAAGTTGGGAATAGAATTTAAGAATAGTAGTATTTTCTATAGCACCCCTCCTACATATCCCCCATTAAAAAAAAAAAAAAAAAAAAAAAAAACTCTGACCCTTTTTCCCTAATTTAAATAGGAAATGTTACGATATGTGGTTCAAGTTAATCATTCATAGTCCTTCAACTATTAAATTTTAATCAATCATAATCCTTCCAAGAGGACAATGACTGGTTAAATTTTAAAAGTTGAAGGACCATGGATGGTTAATTTGGACCACGAGTGGATAAATTTGAAAGTCGAAGGACCACATATGGTCAATTTGAAAGTTTAGAACTAAACGTGGCAAAAATATCATACACAAAAGACCTCATGTGGCATTAACTCTTTTATTTATTTATTTATATTTACCTATTTATTTATTTATTTTGATTTTAATTCATATTTACAATCAAACAAAGTGACATCTTTTACTAAATCCAGTTATATTTACAAGTATTTGATTCCAATTGTGATTTCAATTTCATTGTTGTATCATAATTTATATATATTAGGGGGTGTTTGGTTCAAAAATTGGAACTAGAATCTTAATAGAAATTAAATATTAGGTAATTGTAATGAGTTTAAGTAAAAAAAAAAAAAAATCTTTGTTTGGTAATAAATATGAATTTAAATTTAAATAAATAAAATTAAACTTTTTAAAAATAAATATATAACAAATACATATTTGTGTGTATATATTAAAGTTCTATATTGAATGCATGAACATTGACTTTTTTTATTTTTTATTTTAATGATTCCATTATTCAAAAGTAGGAAAAAAAAAAAAAGAATGATAATGAGTTAATGATTATCAAATGATTTGAATCCGTATAGATTTATAGTATAGTAAAATTAGAGAAACAAATATGATAATGAGTTTAAAATTTACTAGTATGGTACAAAATTCTTCAACCAAATTTCACTAAAATTCAAAAAGTTGTTCAAAGTAATTTTTTCGATCAATTTTTTGAAAAAGTCATTTACATGTAGTCAGCTATCAACTAACAATTAATTTACCAAACGTCTTTTTACAATCAACTAATCTTATCAACCAGCCAAACTCACTAAACCAATCACCTAATATCTATTTAACAAACACCTAATGATCTCACTCATTCTTTTTTTTTTCTGTTAAAAAATAAAAAATTATAGAGAATAAATTATTGGTTACTTTTTTTTTTTTAAGTTACTGGCTCTATTACATTGTAGTATCTGTTCATAAATTATTGGTTACTTGGTAAATCCATTTAGATATTTTATTTCTGAAAATGTGTTACGTAATATTAAGGTACCAATTAAAGAGAAGATTGAAGCGCTAGCTTGGCTGCATGCCCAGAACCACCTGCCCCTTCTCATCCCGCGCTGTTTCTTCTCCGGTCGAACCCCAAGCCGAAGCCTCGACTCCGATCCTTCATCCATTGCTCGTAGTAGCAATGCCAATTCCATTATTTCTTCTTCTTCTTCTTCTCCTTCTGAAAAGCATAGAGTGGTGAGTGTTGCTGGTGTGGGCTCTGCTGTCTTCTTCCGCCATTTACACCCCTTCTCATTCAACGATTGGCTCGCCATTAAGCGGTAGGTGTCTTTCATTCTCCACTCGTGATTCTAGGTTTTCTATACGGTTCTGGTTCTGATGATATTGATCTTGTGAATTTCTGAGTTTCTGCTACTTTGGCTTTGAGCTGAACTACATTTACAATTTAGAAAGAATGTATAATTGTCCATTCTTGACTTGATTTATTACTGAGTTTGAAAGGCAGCTTTTGTAATTTGTATTTACATTACACTTCTTGTTATGATTATCATTAAACAGCATTGAATCAATAAATGGGGTATGTGGATGAAGGATTGTTGTGCGGAGGCCGGTAAAAGGCCAAGTCCAGTACCTGCCTCTCAAAAATGTGATGGTATTTATAAGGAAATAAAGTTGCACTTTCGATACGAGCAATAGTTTTTGGAATAGTGGTGGGCGCTTGATCTAACAAATGGTATTAGAGCCAAAACTGTGCAGTTAAGATTGACAGGTGTTGGGAGGGGGAATTGTTGGGCAGGTGCCGATAAACGGTCAAGTCTATCAATTGGTGGTTAGGGGATTGTTTGGCGGAGGCCGGTAAATGGCCAAGTCGAGCACCCTGCCTCTCGAAAATGTGATGGCGGTGAGCTATAGCTTTTGGTATAGTGGTTTGTAGAGAAAGAGCATAGGCTGTTCAATTTGATGACATTGTTTAAATATAGCAAGTCTAACTTTGCATACTTTTTTAAAGGTTTCTGTCCAAGAAATGCCCTCTAATTCGCGCTTACGGTGCAATCCGCTTTGATGCAACTGCAAGCATAGCTTCTGAATGGAGAGGTTTTGGGTCATTTTATTTCATGGTTCCACAGGTAAATGTGTGGTTTGATTTTCATCTTTTTAGTTGCTAATAGGTGTATATCCTCTGGGAGATGTTCTCTTTTGTATATAATCCATCTGGTGCTAGATATTGAATAACAGGTTGAATTTGATGAGCTTGAAGAAAGTTCAATGATTGTTGCAACTATTGCATGGGATGATGCCCTATCATGGACGTATGGGAAGGCAATAGATGAACTTCAGGCAACGATGTCTAAGGTCTGTCTATTATCATAGCAAGCCCTCATCATCCAAGCATTTCTTCCTGCTTTTTTTTAACACCCCTGAATATATGCAGGTTTGCACTATAGTTAAACAATCGCTGAAAATAGTTCCTAATACATATATTCTCCAGAACACTCATATCCCAAACAAAACATCTTGGGATCAGGCTGTTAAACGTGCTCTCCAAATGATTAACAGGGATGACTCTACACTGATCAAGGTTTAAAATACAGTCATTTATTTTAGCTGATTGTTCTCCATAGCCATTTAAGTGGTGCTTTCAAATCACTTATATTTCTGCTCATCACAATCAAAGATCTAGGTTTTGAAAATCCAAATATTTCTCTGATAATGTAGGTTGTACTTGCTCGCAGCAGTAGAGTTGTAACTGCTACAGATATTGACCCTTTGATGTGGTTAACTTGCCTGAAGGTGTTGATTATTTAACTATTGTAGATGTTAATCTTATTTCTCTGAAGATAACTATAGCTGTGTCAAAACTTAATCTATTTTCTTTTACAGTTTGAAGGAGAGAACGCATATCAGTTTTGTTTACAGCCTCCTGAATCACCAGCATTTATTGGAAATACTGTAAGTGCAATTCCTCTTTCTATAACTATGTGTTGCGGAGTTCTGCATGGTCATACTCACTTTTACAAATTGTGAATAGCCAGAGCAACTATTTCATCGAAACCGACTCAGAATTTGCAGTGAGGCTTTAGCTGGCACCAGAGCTAGAGGTGGAACAGAGCTTCTAGATCTTAAAATTGGGCGTGATTTGCTTTCCAGGTTCTTTTACTGACCTGAGAACCTCTATGATTTTATCTGCTCTTAGAGAAAACATTAAATTTATCAATTCTTCTGGAAAGCTAAATGTGATCTTTCTTATTTGTTTCTTATCTATACTTTGCTGCAGTCCAAAAGAACATAATGAGTTTGCTATAGTACGGGAGTGTATTAGAAGAAAATTGGAGGCAAGCTACAATACAATATTTCTATATGGATTCAAGAACTATAAATTACATTTGACTTTGCAACTATAAGTAGCAATTCTATTCTGATCTGCTTCTTTGTATTTCTGTTTTTTTTTTTCTTTTTCCTGGTTTAATAGGCTGTGTGTTTCAGTGTGCTGATTGAACCAAAGAAAGCTTTAAGAAAACTTCCTAGAGTCCAACATCTTTATGCTCAGTTAACTGGGAGGCTTCAAAGTGAAGATGATGAGGTAGATCTTATTGTTGATTACAGACTTACAGTTCATGTATCTGTTACTTGATTTGTACTTCATTAGGAACTTCTGGATATTCAGAACCAAATGAGACTTGATTTGCACTGTCACCCCATTGTTATTTCATTTTCAGTATTTTATTTTATTTTCAAAATTTCTGAGTTTATGTTTGAAGTGTATATTTTTCTAGTTCAAGATTTTATCATCGCTTCATCCAACTCCAGCAGTTTGTGGGTATCCTACGGAAGTTGCACGGGTCTTAATAGCAGAAACTGGTAGGTGCCTATTGCTACAATGAGACAGCAGTCCTACCTTCAGTAATTTTGTTTCTGGCAAAACACATTTTAATAACTTGTTTAATGCAGTAGTTCCTATATGACCATGATGAAATTACATGGATGCATAACTATATTTTGAGATTTAATGGAGAGGAAATGGTAGTTCCTACATTATTTTTTGAACCCTTGATAAGTAAAATATGGCTTCAATAGTTTGCAACTAGAGCAGCCCAGTTTCTTTTGTTCAGGACTTCAGGCACCATTTCCATCTACATATGGTTAGGTGAAAAATGATCAGATAGACAACCTGCTCTATTCAATTAACAGGAAATTATTTACAAAAAATAACGAGTTCAATTTGTTTATCTATAATGTCAAATCCAAATCCAGGAGGTCAAATCACTAAAGGTGAATCTTAAATTCAATGGAAACTTTCTTTGGGTGCCAGCTTTTGTGGCCCAAAAACTAACCTCTCATGCTTCTGCAGAAATGTTTGATCGAGGAATGTATGCCGGCCCTGTTGGTTGGTTTGGAGGGGGAGAGAGTGAATTTGCAGTTGGAATAAGATCAGCTTTGGTTGAAAAGGTATGCTTCCATTTGATTAGTCTGCAACTGAGAAACTTATAGGGAAAAAGTGGTTCAGCATCTTTATGATTTGAGTTCAATATACTTGGATACAATTCCATTTGTTATAATCTAAGATTGGGTCAAGGTCACTCAACTGGGCTATAATGTACATGGGCCAAACCATACTAAAGGACTGAATCCAATTAATTATTTAGTCTAACCCATGACATTATAAACTTATATATTCTCTCTTAGGTTTTTAATGTGGGACTCTTAACACCATTAAACAAAAAATTATCTAAAAGAGAAGAGGAAGTAACGGAACTGCCCGAGGGTGCTTCCATGTAACACATGCTGGTTTAATTTCGTGGAATTATCAGGGTCTTGGTGCAGTGATTTATGCTGGAACCGGGATAGTGGAAGGAAGCAATTCATCTCTAGAATGGGATGAACTAGAGCTGAAGACATCACAGGTTTGCTTTTCGTCTTTTCTATGACAACTGGAACCGATTTCAACTATCATCAATTATTATCATTAAAGTTTTTATATATTCTATATCTTCATGTTGTTTCTCACAGTTCACCAAACTGATGAAACTTGAGGTGCCTATGTTGACAAGTAGTGGAGAAAGTAGGAAGATCAACCAAAGAGGTTGGTGACACCAAAGGAACATATATATCATTAGAAATTTCATCAAGAATTCATGTTAGTAGTGATTATATATAAATTAGTATTACTAAGTCGATCTCTCAGGGAAAATGATTACTTCCCAGTTCCCAGTCATCTTTTTACTTTGCACCAGAAAGATTTTGCAAATCTCAGAGGAATCGAATTTCTCATAGTTTAGTGTAGACGATAGAGATGTGACATTCATTGTGGACACAAAGGGCGCATTGCATGTTAATCTGGTAATTGACCATTTCATCATCTCCATCTTTAGAAGCCAAAGCAGATGAGGGAAAACAATTTCACTATGGAAGATTGTTAATAATGGGGTTGCTTATCAGTTATGAGCAAAATATATAGAGATGTGCCAAAATTCTGCCCTTTGATTGTATTTAATTGTATAGATTATTTTATATCATATATAAGTGTATATTTGATTTGAAGTGATATTCTGTCATTCAGTGGCAAGACATTTAAATGGAAAAGTTACCTTTTTTTTAGTACTATTAACTCTATTACAGTGTAATATAGCATAAGGGTTCAAACTTGTGACCTCTCATTTGAGAGAGTCACAGTTATGTCGCTTGACTACAAGGTCTTTGGCTGAAAAAGTTACCTTAATGCTATTGACATTGTAATAAGAGTGCATAATGCCTAACTAATTTTCTAAGCATTTTATCTTAATATCTGTTTTTCCATTTTATTTCTCTTTTTCTTTTGTAGGGAAATAGTTTAGCTAGCTTCCATAAACTTGTGCTGATATGAAGTTCAAGTATTTGATCAAAGAAAGAATTGTATCATAAAGGGAAAATTTTTAAGATGAGTTGGTTCAATTTTTAATTTGGATTATGTCCGTAGTACTATGTCTAAGAATTGGTTTAATCCCAAAGTATCAAGATAAGGGTAAATTTGCTGGGGACATAATTTTAATATATTATTTATATACTAAATGTACCTTATTTGATAATATATATTAAAAATGTACTTGATATTCATGGTCCACACAATAATTTGTCGGCTCTAACTGTAGGAGGTACCTTTAAGTCCGCATTATACTCAAATAATGTATCTTTAGTACATTAAATGTACCTTTTATTCATGATCTACACAATTACTCTTACACAATAAATAAAGAGACATTATTTATCCATAAAGGCAATTAAGCTTTAAAATTTGCATAAATTTCTGTAAAAAGCATAAAAGTGTACAATATTTTTTTGAGTAATATGACTCTGTTACAATGTAATATGTTTTTATATTTACTTTCTCAACCTATTGAAGCACAAAGAGAGGAATTCACTTTGTGTCACTAAATTGACATAAAAAGGAAATTTAGATATAAAATAAACATAGTTCTTACATAAATAATTTTTTTTTCAAATGAATAAGTTTTTTGTGGAGTTTTTCAACAAACATTGCCTGTTATTTTATTTAAATACGTTAGCTGTATAATTAAATTAGTTATTTCAAATTCAAATTTAAATAATAATAATAATACAAATAACAATAAACTTTAAAATCAACATAGTAATAACGTAATTAAACTTTTAAAAATATTAAATATTACATTGTATAGCTATACTTACATTTTTAATAAAACTAATTCTAGCTATACTTACATTTTTAATAAAATTAATTCTGTTTTGTACCTTAACATTACAACAATACTTATAAACTTCTGTGCCTAGCTAATAATTATATTATTTTCCTTTCCTTGAAACCTATCTTTACATGCATTATTGTTCTACATGTATATATCTAGCTATCTGATTTTGTTCACTTCAATTCTTCCCTAGCTTTTTAATTTGTTGGATCAGAGATTTGAAGTACACGTGTACATCTTCAACAAGGCTTCCCGTCATGGCAGTCGAGATGGCCGGAAAATTTGGTGAGCATGTTAACGAAGTTCCCGGGCTTAGGCTTGATCTTTTCGTCGCCGGTGGGAAAATGCTGATTGCGATTTCCAGATTGCACGAAAAAGGCGCCGTTCATCATCACATCTCCATCCGACTTCCACGCCCAACTCTTCCACACACTCTCCGCTGTATATTCCCTCTTCGTCACCTACATACACATCAACAATGTATTTTTTTTTTTTTAAACAAAATACTGCAAATAGATTCACTCCTGGAAATTATAGAATTTTCAACCACCAGAAAATGATCAGCCAACAACCACTTTGGGTATCTAGAAAAACTTTTGTTACTATTTCCGACCACTTTTTGATAATTTTCAGGTTGTCGGAAATTCCATAATTTTCAGGTGGTCGGAAATACCATAATTACATACCTCTTTAGCTGCAGGATTGGGAGGAGCAATGAAGCGATTGCCTTGGCTAAGAATAGTAGGGTTTTGGCTGCCGCCGACGGCGTACATAAGCCAGTGAGTGTAGTCGTTGTTGACGGTGTGGACGAAGCCGTATCTCACTCTGGGCATTCTCTGAATCAGCCCCTGCCCAAAGTGATTGAACGCCACCGTGATCTGCAATATCTTGTCTTTGGAATACCCATTGCTCGCCCCGAACAGCATCACATCGTTGTGGTGGGTGAAATGGCAGTTGGAGATCGTCACCGCCGTGGACGACTGAACCACGTCGATGAGCCCGTCGGCGCAGTTGGACATGGAGATATGGTCGATCCAAACATTGGTGGACCCAAACACGGTGATCCCATCGCCGTCGCTCCTGGTCCGCTGCCCGAAATGGCTGAGCGAGTCCCTGATCATCCCGCCGCCGCCGGCTTTGATGTCGTGGATGTGGAGGCAGTGGATGATGACGTTCTTCACAAACTGCAGCGTTATGCCGGCGCCCTGCGCCAGGTGGATCTGGCGCCCCCGCCCGTCGATGGTCTTGTGGCTCGTCACGATGAGCTCGCCTTTGAGGCGGATGACCATGCTGCGGCCGAAGATGATCCACAGCGGGCCGCGCTGGATGACGGCGTGGCGGAGAGTTCCCGGGCGGGGGTTGACTAGGTCGTCGTCGGAGGGGTTGGAAACGATGTATATCTTGCCGCCTTTGCCGCCAGTGGTGTGGCGGCCGAAGCCGAGGACGCAGTCCGCCAGCTTCATGCGGTTCCTGGCCCAGTTTGGGTCGCACCTCCAGCATTGATCTATGGGATTTGTAGCGAGGCATGGACCGTGATATTTATGTTTCAGACGTAAACTCCTCCTTGTACGATTACTACTCCCTTCTATCGCTCTATAACCCATACATGCATGGAAAAAACATAAATTTTAGCATATATAATTTATAAGTATGCCCACTTCAAGAAACCAAAAGAGCAAAAGAAAGAACATTGTGTTGACACGGATACCTCAATTAATTTCTAGGACATATTGTGACAAAAATACAAGATTAAGTATAGGTCTGATCGTTGCAGTGTGAAAGTTACAATTAATGTTGTGGGTCCTCCAACATTATAGATTGCGTCATCTATCTTGTCGGGCTAGCATTAATTACTAAAGGAAAAGACGAATTTTACTGTGAGCCATGAAGTAGGTCCTATTTTAATTATACTCCAGTTTTAATTCTACTGTAGTAGAGTTTCATTTGACAATATACATTATTGCATGGGCTCTAAAAACTATTACAATGTAGTATTTGTAGAGTTTCATTTGACAATATACATTATTGCATGGGCTCTAAAAACTATTACAATGTAGTATTTGTACTGAGGCTCGAACTCATAATCTTCCAAATGAAAGTCCAACCCGGGTACCATTGGACCACATAGTCCTGGTTCACACACACTAGTTTAATTATAGTAATGATTAAGTATTATTTTAATTACATTTCAAGTTCATTTGACAATATAAATTTGGCGTGTAAGTCATTTTCCGCAAAAATGCTTACGTTTTCCCGTCAACAGAAAATGTTTTCTGTTGACTGAATTTTCCTATTGCATCCAAACACTGAAAACTCGAAAAATATTTTCCACAAAGTCATTTTCTACGTTTTCAAACGGACTCTAATTTACCAAACATTTTTCTACAATCAGTAATATTATCAATTCGTCAAACACATTAACGCAATCAGCTAACAGCTATTTACCTAAACACCACATAATAATAAAATTAAAAGGATAAAATTAAACTTACTTGTTGACATGATGATTGAAATGATGAACAACTTCATGTGGATTAGGGTTATAAGCCCCATGAGCATCCTTCTTCGCATCACGGGCTCTCTTCTCCCACACCTCATCATATTCACCAATGTTGGCCTCAACCGCCAAAACTAAAACAACGTAAAACACAGCGAAAAACATCCTATGCCGCCGCATAACGCCCTCCATGTTTTGTTGTTGTCGCCGACCGACAGATTTATCAATGGATGGAAGGCAAAAAAAAAAAAAAAAAAAAAAAAAAAAAAAAAAAAAAAACAGTTTAATTAACTACAATTATTTGTGCCTATAGCTTTTAAAGCTGTTTAAATATATATACATCTATCACCGCTAGGAGGTAGGAGATAGAAGAATAGTAATTAAGGAAAGGATATATAATGGGAAGTACAGAGGGAAGAGTGGAGAACCAGTTTTTACTCTATTGGTCAACATAAGTCCATGTGCTTAATTAATTCCCTTTAATGTGGATGGCATGGGGATAACGTATTCCATCCATTCAAATTAAAAATAATGTAGTCTTGGCCTGTCATAATTTGAAGGGATCAAATTCATCATCTGAATAAGAGGCAATATTACGTTCTCATTTATTTGTTTTAAAAAAAAAAAAAAAAAAAAAATTCTCTACCACAGTTGGAAATCTTCTATTTTCTGACCACCCTAAAGTGATTGGAAATTACCATTTTTCCATCGAAAATCCTTGTTCAAATGTAATACCAGATCAAGAATAAAATGTTTATTACTTATATGAGAAAATGTAATATAGAGTACTTTTGAATAAAATGTAATACTTTTATATTTTGATGTAAAAATATTACATTTTCCTTTATGAGTGAATTAAGTGCAACATTATTTATAAAGAAAAATATAATACTTTTACATCAAAATATAAAAGTATTACATTTTTTTTTCTCAAAAATTTTACATTTCCCTTATAAGTAACAAACATTTTATTCCTAATTTAGTATTATATTATATTTGCTATTATAAATATTACATTTACATATTGACTCGATCCGATCCGACCTATCTCACAAATAAAGATTCATGAGACGATCTCACACAAGTGTGACCCATTTTTAATAGTTAGACTGACATTTGAAATGAAAATGACCTCTTGTGGCAGTAGACAATTTCTAACCTTTGATTTATGGCAAAGCCAGTCAGCAACCGCTACTCAAAGGTATGTTTTGAATAAAGCTTGACTAGTGACGACCTTATTAGCTAATAAAAGACCATAAAAAGATAATTCAATTTAGGTTGTCCATAATTTAATTGGGTCAAACCAATAAAACTAATAGACATCTCTCGAGAGTCAAACTTAGAACTTTGTAATTAGTAAGTTAACTGTCCGACCAACGTGATGGAGGTTGAAAACAATTTCTAACATATTACACTAATATATAGGTGGACAAACAAATTCAATTTGTTTTCAAATTGATATATGTATGTACATGTTTAAAATGAAATGTGATCGGGAAGAACATGATTTTCTAAGTTATATTTAACTCTTATCAATATATCATTTCAATTGAATCTGTCACATAGACTAGATTTCTCTGTAAGTATTTTCCCTAAATACAATATATTATAATATATTGTATTATTGGGTGGTTGTGGTGCAAGTAGGAGATTGAGTCAATTAGTGACTTAATCTGTTATGCAACTCAGGATATTCAGTTAAGCTTTAACTGAATATCTGCCTATGTTGATGGCATGTAGGCTTCTAAGCAAAATAGTCCTCCCATAGCTCCCGGGTTCAGGACACGCACCATCACGTATTCGGGAGAGAAGTGGTAGACAAAACGACACTAACCTTTATTCTGCAGGTTTACCATCTCGTGGCAATACCAACGACTATGGCTGGGGATATTTGGGCGATCCTAAAGCTTCCGCTGTAACGAGGAAGGTTACTCGTTTACTACAGTTTGTGTTAGTCTTAATATTATTATCTAACATTTGGTATCAGAGCCCTATCAATCTTTGTCTGGTTGGTTGTATTTCCTAAAAACAAAATTAATTAATATCATATACATTGATTTTAGTATATGTTGTTTTTCGGAATATTGTCTTCTGGAGTTGATTTATTGTTGTTGCTAAGTTGTTGCCGTTTCTTTTTGGGATACACCGCCATTGAATTTTGGCCGGAGGAATACGGTTCAAAGGTAACAAATTGCAGAGCCGTGGCGTCAGCTCTCTCTTCTTCCTTCATTGGCGTCGGAATCCGTTGGGTGTTTCATGGAAGCTCGCCGGCTGGAGATGCTATGGAAGAAGGGATTGACTGGTTCACGGGCGACAACAAAAGGAATCCGAGGATTTTGCGACGTAGCACGGCGGCGATCGTTGGTGCTGCGGCGGACGGCGGACGGTCGGCTTTGGTTCTCTGCTGTGAGCCTTGCCGCTGAGAGGACACCGCCATGGACGCAGCTCCCTCGGGTCACCGGTTGCCATGAGAACGACGGCGAGGAGGATGGTGGAGGCGGGCTGGATTTCCGGTCATTAAGGTCGCACTAGCTCCGGCCACCTCTGTCTCTCTCCGATCGCTGCTCCTCAAGATCAGGCGGCGCTGGTTCCGAACAGAGAGCTGCGAAGAAGACGTGCATGACTGTACTGGTAAGTCTTCCTATTTACATGCAATTATACTTTTTATTTACCATATATTAATATTTACCTTAATTATTTTATATTTATATATATTAATTTTGGTAAATGGTAATTATTTAGTTTAATATTGCTATATTAATATTACCTTAATTAATATTGTAAATGATTTTGGCTGAAAATGAACATGATATTACTAATTTATTCAAAATATAAAAGGATCGCTAATTGACTAATATTATACCATTATATATTTTCACGGAGTCATCCATCCTGATCAATTGAAGGGGTTAGCTCTAGACGATGATGGACGAGATTGTGTTGCTACTACTAATGTCGTCTACAAAGAGGTTTCAACAATGTGTAAATAAAATCGTTGATATTATGTTTTTTAAATGACAAAATTGCTATATGTATAGACAAAAAAAATATATATATATATATCCTCCATACAAATGAATTAAGATAACAATTCATTCATATAACTGAGTTGCTAGAGAACGAACATATTTGTCTAATTTATAAAAAAAAATACTAAACAATGATAAATAAAATCTCTAAAGTTATAACACTACATGCATACATCTACACATTAGCTATTAATTTGAGCAATTATTTGCTTAAATTCGAATGATCCAACCCGTATATCCAATTGAACTATATAATATTTGATGTTCTAATTTAAATAATTATATATCAATCCAAATATTCTTAATATATTACAACAAATCTATTCCGTGCATCGCACAGGCGCAAATACTAGTTCACAATTAAATTATTATTGTTGTAATTTGGCCTATCAACTTGTTAGTTCTCGCGTGATGATTACACGGTAATTACCCGGAGATTATATATAAGATTATAAAGTGTAGAGATGTAAGAAGAGAAGAATGACACAAGACGTAGAGCACAAACATAAGCATTTTATTTCATTAAGCCTTCACATGTATTTATACTAATCCATACAACCCTTCATATGCTTAACATAAACAATATATTAAGTAGAAGAAAATGGAGAGTCTCAAGATTAATGGCCACTAATAAAATATTTATAACACTCCCCCTTGGCCATTAAATAACTATACTCATGCCTCGTTAAAAACCTCGCTAGAAAAACCCAGTGGGAAAAACCTAGACGAGGAAAAGAGTACACGAAGTATGTTGATCCATGTGTTGCACCGGTTGCCTCATTAAAAACCTTAGCCTAAGAAAACCCAGTGGGAAAAAACTTAGCCAAGGAAAAGAGTACAACCATAAGCCTTCTGGGCATAGTCTTCAAGATTTCAAGGGCCTTCAGGACTATCCACTCAAGTGCACCAACATCGGTTGCCTCATTAAAAACCTTAGCTTAAGAAAACCATGTGGGAAAAACTTAGCTAAGGAAAAAAGAGTACAACCATATGCTTTCGTAGCATAATCTTTAGGATATCAAAAGTCTTCTAGATTGTCCATTCTAGCACAGTTAGGGGTTGTCGCTCCCCCTGAAGATAACAATCTTCTAAGCCTATGCATCCCAATTTTATAAACATATTATTCAAAAGTGGATGTAGGCAAAGACTTAGTGAACATATCTACAAGATTGTTCAGTGGGGCAAACATTCTCAACAAGAATTTTACAACTCTTCTGGAGTTCATGTGTGTAGAAGGACTTAGGTGCAACATGTTTTGTAAGGTTCTCCTTAACAAAACTATTACTTGCTTGCGCAACACAATCTTATTTGTCCTCATATGGGACATTGGGGGTAAAAATATAACATAACCAGTTTTGGACTTAGCATCATAGGGATCAAATAAAAGAGCCAGTGCCCAAATAGCCCATCAAAACCACATATAGGTTTCTTACATAAACGTCAAAATATTTGTACCTTGAAGGTGCTGGAGGATATGTTAAATACCATTCCAACTTTCATTGTAGGGGGAAACACTAAATGTTGCTAGCAATTTCATCGCAAATTCAATATCAGGCCTGATGCGATTATGGAACTTCTAGTTCAATAATAGTGCTCCAATAGGAATGAAATAATAGACTTCTAGTCCTAAAATATCCTCATTATCATCTTCGAGTCTAAATGGTCTTTTATCTACTTCAAGAGATTATTGGACAACCATTGGTGTGATAAGTAAATAATACTTATCCATATAAAACATCTTCAAGATATTTTTCAAGTAGGCTAACTGGTGTATAAAACTTCTTCAAGGAGAAGCTCGATCTTCAGGTCGAGACAATACTTGGGTTTCCCAAGTCTTTTATTTCAAAACTCCGTCTTTTGGCATGAGCTAATATCACCAAGCTCTCTTTATGTTTCAATAACATTTAAACCATCAATATCGACTGAGCAGATAAATAAATAACTCCATTCGCAATTCGTTAACGAACACATAATGGTATATATTATTTGCATATTCCTTCTTCAGGAGGAAAACACTCAGTCAATAATATTCAAGTCATACAAAGATTTGGCAATTTAATGCTACACGTCGCGATTTTCACTTTCCTTATTTCAAAAGTGTTCAATCCATCAGGGATTTACAAATAAATATTAGCGTCTAATGACCCATAAGTTTGTTGGTCA